GGCCGCGAGAGATGATCAGAACTTTGCCGTGGTCGCTTGAGATGATGATAATGTCTAAACGACCACGGGATTTGATCATGCATGATTTTACTGCGATCGCGCGAGACGATGATAATGTCTTAACAACCGCGGGATATGATCATGATTTTACCGCGATCACGCAATACGACAATCAGATCTACAGAGCCGCGAGGGATGTTCAGAACATTGCCGCAATCACAGAAGACAAAGATAATGTCCACACAACAGCGGAAAACAGTCAGAAATTTGCCAAGATCGCAGAAGACGATAATGATCTCCACAACTGCGGGATATTATTAACATTTTGCCGTTATCGCGGGAGACGATTACGATGTCTACAGGATCGCGGGAGTTACAATAATGATGTCTACTCTACACGGCTGCGAGGGATGATCAGAATTTTACCGCAATCGCTTAAGACGATGATAATGTCCACTCGACCACGGGAAAGATAAGAATTTTGCCTCATTCGCGAAAGACGATGATGATCTCCAAACAACCGCGGGAGATGATTACCATTTGCCGCAATGGCGAGAGAGGATGACAATGCCTCACGACTGCGGGAGACGATGATGTCTTCACGGCTGTGAGGGATTATCAGAATTTTATCGTGATCACACAAGAAGATGATAATGTCCACACGACCCCGGGAAAAGATTACAATTTTGCCTCATTCGCGGTAGACGGTGATAATCTCATCACGACCGCGGGATGTGTTCATATATTGCCGCGATCAAGGAAGACGATAATTATGTCCACACATCCGCTGGAAATAGTCAGAACTTTGACGCGATCGTGGGAGACGGACGATGATGACGTATATACAACCGCGGTAAATAATTAACATCTTGCCGCAATTGTGGGAGACTGTTAAGGTGTCTTCATGGCCGCAAGGGATTATCAGTTTACCGCGATCGCATGCAAAAACGGCCACATTTTTTTTTCTTTTTCCAATATTTTTGGCGCCCCCCAAAAATGCCAATTGCCTCGCGCCCTAGGCACGTGCCTACCTTGCCTATTCGGTAAATCGGCCCTGCCTTACTTATAAACTTAGTCCGCTTACTAATGAAGAATAGTTAATAATAGTGATCATAATCAGACTGGCTGAGTGGCTATATAACTCCACAACCAACAACACGAGAGCACACCCCAAGGGAGGGGGTTTTGGTTTTTTTTTTATTTTACAATTAAAATGTAGTCGGATTGAACCTAAGAAATGTCCAAAAAGTTGTAGCAGTGTTGTAGCCAAAGGGGGATTATGACCCTCATAACCCCCCCCCCACCCCCCCCCCCTACCGTGACTAAAGGATTTTGCCATGAATGTGAAAGATGTTTAGGGTTTTGCCGCCATTGCGGGATACGATCATTATATGTCCTTGGTCTATGAAGATGTTAATAATGTCTCATTGAGATATCAGAAGATGTTCATGATGTCTCTATAACCGCAGAAGGTATTTAATGCCCCCATGATCGTAGGAGATGTTCAAGATGTATCTATGATCTCGAGAGAATATGGCGAATTCGCCACACTAGTGGTAGACGATCACTATGTCTCTGTGATCGCCGAAGATGATCACAATAATGCATCAGTGATCACGGAAGGTGTCCATAAATTCCACTGTGGAAGATGTTCATTATGTCCACATGATTACGGGAAATGTTTATCGACTCCGTAATCGCAGAGGATTTTTTAACATGACAACAATGTGAATAAAGGGCAAACGAGAATTATTGGGTGAACTTACCAGCCATTATTTAAATTTGTCGATTTCTCGCTCGGCTAAACATCCTGTAAAACATCTGTATAAGTACTGAACCAGAAAGGGTGCACCCCACTTACCGTCACATTTTTTTAACTTAGCACTCACTAGAAAATCTTATTATTCAATATTCAAATATGGTGCATTTGAAAAAAATACACAAATATATTAGAAGGTAGGTACCTACCCAACAAATTTTTAGATAACATTTTACTTTTTGAACAGAGAACACTGACAATAATTGTTTTGGTGAAGAATAACACATCAAGTTTTGTTTACTATGCAACAGTTTGTGACATTGTTTGTTGTTAACCGTTAACGAATTTACACGTGTTTTCACAGTAGCAATGGCGACACCGCAACAGAAAGCACAATGCGTACGTAGTTTGACTGGTTTAAAAGAAGTCGTTTAATTATTAACGTTCAACGCAATTTATGCCGTGTGTTTAGTGGTAATTCACCGCATAAAACTACAATTCGTCGGTGGGAAGGAGCAGAAAGTGTTTTAAATCGAAAGAAAACTAGAATGCCATGAGATTCCGAAGACACTGTTGAAGAAATCCGCATCACGTAGTTCAAAGACGCCAGTTAGGCGCCGGAGTTTGCAGACAGGAGTACCCAAATCAACCTTTCACAAAGTGATTCGTAAAAGACATCGTCTAACTCCGTATAATATTCAACTATTACATGAATTTAAGCCAATGATCAAATCGAGAAACTTTACTTTGCTGTTTCTACGACGGAAAGAATTTCGGAATATGACACTTTTTCTTTAAACAAATAGCTTTTACAGATAAGGCAATATTCCACGTTAATGGGGTTCACGGTTCACAGCCACCACATGAATTTGTCGAACATCAGAGAAACTCCCCGAAGATCAATGTTTGTTGCATCTTGATGCATAAAAGTGTTATTGGACCATTCATTTTGCTGAGAATGTAGTAAATGATCCATGGTGATAAGTTAGAACTGTATGTTTTTCCTCAGTTGGATGATATTGAAGAAGATGAGGGCCTCTAATCTTTTCAGCAAGTTCAAGCTGGAGCTCCTTCTCATTACAAGGACCGAGTGTGCCAAGCTCTGACCAACAGGGTTGAAGATCTATGGATTGGAAGAGCAGCACCAATTCCTTAGCCACCACGAAGCCCGGACACCTAAAGCGGCGTTTTCCTAGCGACGCGATTAAGCCTGTTACGCTGCGTGCTTCGTGCTCCGCGGTTGCCGGAACCACCGATCCCTTTTAAACTAATGAGACTGAAGGTGCGTTTTCCTCCAACTTCAGTAACCGCGCTGCGTGCTACGCGATTAATCTAAAGAACGCAGCGTGGACAGGAACAGCGTGATTAAAATTTTACGCTGCGCAAAAGTGTTTTCCTAGAAATCCGGCAATGCGTTGCGTAACATCAGATTCGCGGTTTCCACAGTAGCGTTCTGCTACGGATCTCAGAAAGAAGAGTCTCATACATAAATAAATGATAAATAAATGTGGTGACTCATACATTGGGGTATGTGAAGTTGGCCTATCAAAAAAAACCTACCCACAATTATTAATTCCATTTGTTAGTTCCGTGTTAGTTCTTCATAGTTCCGTTAAAATTTGCATTTGTTAGTTAGTTTGTTCGTTAGACGGAATTATTGGGAACTAACTTGTAACTAACTATTGACACTGTTTGAAACCCAATTTAGGGCATGGATATGCTGGCGTAAAGTTAGCCCGCCCCAAGGCCACACACGTGGATTGTGCCGGTTACATAGTGTAACATGTTAACTAAAAAAAATTAAACTAAAATAAAAAAATATTAAATTAGGGCCTAAGTTAAATTGAAATTTTTTGATATGATGTTTAGTTTAAGTATTTAATGTATTAAATTAAAGAAACGTCCTAGGTACAACACTTTAAAAATGTATTTACACTTATACTGTTTTCAAGACTTTAAATATACATGAAATTGGTAAAAGTTTATCGATTTCGAATGGTCACACCAAATGATCACACAGTCAATTAATAAACTGTCATCATCAACAGTGAACTTGGTAACATCACTACAACTTATCGTTTTCTCCATATTTCCAATGTAAACAATGGCCCAGTTCGGCAGCGTGGTTCACAACTGACTGCTCTCGAGGCAGTGGTCCCAATCACGCTGCGCGCTGCGCACTGCGCAGTTGGCAGTTAGTCGCGCACCGCGCCGCTAGGAAAACAGTCACATTCGTTTAAAAGGGATCGGTGGTTACGGCAACCACGGAGCACGAAGCACGCAGCGTAACAGGCTTAATCGCGTCGCTAGGAAAACGCCGCTTGAGACTGTTTTCCTAGCGGCGCGGTGCGCGACTAACTGCCAACTGCGCAGTGCGCCGCGCTCAGCGTGATTGGGACCACTGCCTCGAGAGCAGTAGTTGCGAACTACGCTGCCGAACTGGGCCATTGTTTACATTGGAAATATGGAGAAAACGATAAGTTGTAGTGATGTTACCAAGTTCACTGTTGATGATAACAGTTTATTATCGGACTGTGTGCCCGATTTTGCAATTCTGTGGAAAATGAGCCATCCTGATTTTAAAAATAACTTTAAGAAGGACAATTAAGCTTTGGAGTTGGATAGGTCAATGTCGAGCTATTAGTCGATGTTATAAATATGTCGACATCTTCGTCCATCTCTTCCTCTTCCACCAACAACATAAAAGCGAGACTCTTCTTTCTACGATCCATAGCAGAACGCTACCGTGGAAACCGCGAATCTGCTTGTTACGCATTGCCGGATTTTTAGGAAAACACTTTTGCGCAGCGTAAAATTTTAATCACGCTGTTCCTGGCCACGCTGCATTCTTTAGATTAATCGCGCAGCACGCAGTGCGGTTACTGAAGTTGGAGGAAAACACACCTTCAGTCGGAAAAGTATTCAGTCAACTTTGAGCTTATGGGCTAACAGACTTTGACCAACACTCATCAAAATAGCCTTAAAATTAATTACACAGTACAATAGTATGAGTTGACTTATTTATTTGGGTAAGGCCAATTACTTAATATAGCTCGCAAGAACAAACAAGCTATCAACATTAATCTATGCTTTCATCTTCGTTATAATAAAAGCCAAAACATATACTGTACCTCTCTGTATTCATCTTCTCCTTCACCAGCTGTTACGTCGGCTACGCTAAAGCGAGAACGAGACGCTAAAAAAAAACTACAACCTAACCTCTCATATTTCTTTGTTGTTATTTATTTACACTTATCAGTAGGTTGGTATGTAAACTCATTCAAATAAGCCTACAAGTTTACTTCAAACAAACCAAACTTTACAATGGCTTTAGTAAATGTGACTGAAGAATCAATTGAGATGGATCAAGAATTAGCGAAAAAACTATTTGTAGAAGGAGCTTGTCTCATCATTTTAGGTGTTCCACTTGGAACCGAAATCGGAATTGATTTGAAATCTTGGGAAACTGCAGAAAGATTTAGAGGCATAAAGATGATACCTCCAGGACTGCACTTTGTGTATTACAGGTAGGCCTAGGTCTATCTATTTTTAATCTTCATTTACTGTGGTTTGTAAAATTTAAACATTTGTTGAGTACCGTAATCCAAGCTAGGAATAGCTTTTGGAACAGGGGTTAAGCAAGTTTAAATTAAGTCCAAAGACCTGGGTTTATGTCCCAACAATCTGCAATGGATTTTATTAAATAGCACAGCCCTTTCTCAATGAAATTATATTTTAATGTATTCATCTAGACATTGTATAAGTTAAGTTATTTTAGATGCACATAGGCCAAGGCCTAGAATGGCAAATACCTAGGATGACCAAACGTCACCGAATACACTGACTGTCCTGGTTTTTTTTGTCATAACACATGTTGCATGTTGTCCCAAAAAATTGTCTTATGATGCCTAAAAATCATAGAGGTAACTTATGTATAAGTTACAATTATTTATGTAAGTTAATTTACAAAAATAGTTATCAAGTAATTTTATTCATATTTTACTTAATACAAATTATCTAGGCCTATACATTTTTTAGACTAACTTAAGTAGTTAACTTAAGCACACTTACTAAGTTATCCGAATCCTGTAAAACATTTCATGATGCCATACAAAATGTACGATTTAGCCTATGTACAGGCGTTCCTTAATATCCAAGCAATTATTGTAGCAGCTTTACAGATCAAATAGGCCTTACTTCAGGCCCGTTTTTGACCATGTCAGCGCCCTAGGCACAACTAAAATAGTAGCGCCCCTTTGCAATATTGCAATATATACAGGGTGACCACCAACCGGGAAATCCGGGAATTAAGCGTGATTTTTTTGAACCGGGAATTATGTGTGCATTTTGTATTTCTACCTGGAATTTTCAATTTACCGATGGCGCATGACAACAGTGACGTTTCCATGACCACGGTAGACGGGAGACGATAATATGTCTCCACAAGGCCGCGAGAGATGATCAGAACTTTGCCGTGGTCGCTTGAGATGATGATAATGTCTAAACGACCACGGGATTTGATCATGCATGATTTTACTGCGATCGCGCGAGACGATGATAATGTCTTAACAACCGCGGGATATGATCATGATTTTACCGCGATCACGCAATACGACAATCAGATCTACAGAGCCGCGAGGGATGTTCAGAACATTGCCGCAATCACAGAAGACAAAGATAATGTCCACACAACAGCGGAAAACAGTCAGAAATTTGCCAAGATCGCAGAAGACGATAATGATCTCCACAACTGCGGGATATTATTAACATTTTGCCGTTATCGCGGGAGACGATTACGATGTCTACAGGATCGCGGGAGTTACAATAATGATGTCTACTCTACACGGCTGCGAGGGATGATCAGAATTTTACCGCAATCGCTTAAGACGATGATAATGTCCACTCGACCACGGGAAAGATAAGAATTTTGCCTCATTCGCGAAAGACGATGATGATCTCCAAACAACCGCGGGAGATGATTACCATTTGCCGCAATGGCGAGAGAGGATGACAATGCCTCACGACTGCGGGAGACGATGATGTCTTCACGGCTGTGAGGGATTATCAGAATTTTATCGTGATCACACAAGAAGATGATAATGTCCACACGACCCCGGGAAAAGATTACAATTTTGCCTCATTCGCGGTAGACGGTGATAATCTCATCACGACCGCGGGATGTGTTCATATATTGCCGCGATCAAGGAAGACGATAATTATGTCCACACATCCGCTGGAAATAGTCAGAACTTTGACGCGATCGTGGGAGACGGACGATGATGACGTATATACAACCGCGGTAAATAATTAACATCTTGCCGCAATTGTGGGAGACTGTTAAGGTGTCTTCATGGCCGCAAGGGATTATCAGTTTACCGCGATCGCATGCAAAAACGGCCACATTTTTTTTTCTTTTTCCAATATTTTTGGCGCCCCCCAAAAATGCCAATTGCCTCGCGCCCTAGGCACGTGCCTACCTTGCCTATTCGGTAAATCGGCCCTGCCTTACTTATAAACTTAGTCCGCTTACTAATGAAGAATAGTTAATAATAGTGATCATAATCAGACTGGCTGAGTGGCTATATAACTCCACAACCAACAACACGAGAGCACACCCCAAGGGAGGGGGTTTTGGTTTTTTTTTTATTTTACAATTAAAATGTAGTCGGATTGAACCTAAGAAATGTCCAAAAAGTTGTAGCAGTGTTGTAGCCAAAGGGGGATTATGACCCTCATAACCCCCCCCCCACCCCCCCCCCCCCCCCCTACCGTGACTAAAGGATTTTGCCATGAATGTGAAAGATGTTTAGGGTTTTGCCGCCATTGCGGGATACGATCATTATATGTCCTTGGTCTATGAAGATGTTAATAATGTCTCATTGAGATATCAGAAGATGTTCATGATGTCTCTATAACCGCAGAAGGTATTTAATGCCCCCATGATCGTAGGAGATGTTCAAGATGTATCTATGATCTCGAGAGAATATGGCGAATTCGCCACACTAGTGGTAGACGATCACTATGTCTCTGTGATCGCCGAAGATGATCACAATAATGCATCAGTGATCACGGAAGGTGTCCATAAATTCCACTGTGGAAGATGTTCATTATGTCCACATGATTACGGGAAATGTTTATCGACTCCGTAATCGCAGAGGATTTTTTAACATGACAACAATGTGAATAAAGGGCAAACGAGAATTATTGGGTGAACTTACCAGCCATTATTTAAATTTGTCGATTTCTCGCTCGGCTAAACATCCTGTAAAACATCTGTATAAGTACTGAACCAGAAAGGGTGCACCTCACTTACCGTCACATTTTTTTAACTTAGCACTCACTAGAAAATCTTATTATTCAATATTCAAATATGGTGCATTTGAAAAAAATACACAAATATATTAGAAGGTAGGTACCTACCCAACAAATTTTTAGATAACATTTTACTTTTTGTCTTTTAAAGTGGCACTTAAAAAGACCTCTAGCCTTTAGATCACGGGGTTCCCCTTAGACACCTCCCTCCTCCCCCCTATTGCAATTTAACCCCCCCCCCCCCCCGTGCTTTGTAAGCAGTTTAGCTGTGACATGGGTTTTATTTAATAAAACCTGGTCGTTTTATTTAATAAATTTAATAGAAAGAGATTCATCTCTACCTTTAATATGCTGAATAATAAGGGCTTTGCATTTTATAGCTATAGATTATACTGGATGCTAAGTAGCCAAATTTTTTTTAATCTTCACATTTCCAAAATATATTTTTGAATCTTTCTAGCGGGACAAACAAGTATGGAGAAGTTGCTCCAAGGAGTGGATTCATTCATTCCTTTAAGAGAGCTGAGATACTTGTAAAAAAGTGGGATTCTGAAAAAGAAGAAATCAGCAACGAAGGTACATAGGCATGCTATTTACGTATCAATTCTTATTTAGGTGGGCCTACCTAATTTGGTGCGCAGCAAACTTTCGGAAACAAACTAAGAAATTAAGTCCTAGTGCAATCAAAACTGTCTTTTTCATTTCATATTTCTCCCTATCTTAACATTTTTCTTTTCAAATACAGGTATATACAATTCTTACGAAGCCTTTACCAGGCTACATTTTCTTTTTTTGCATAGATTTATTTAAGTTAATTGAAAATAAAAATAAATTTATAACGTAGTTTCAATAAACAGTTGACAGTATGCTTCTGGTTTCATAATGAAGTACTTATGTCCCTTTTTGCAAAGTTTGCTACCTTTTTAGCGAATTTCCCATATAGGGAATAAGCTATTACCGAAGTACTCATGGTAAGACCAAAATATTCGTCTAGTTGCAGGGTCAGATTTAGCATTTTGGGGCACGGCCCAAATAATTTTCCGCCCTCTAGTCTGGTCACAGTTACTTTCCTTCAAACCTTTATTAAAAACTATATGGGCCTAATGCCTATAGGCCTATGGTAATTAATTGCTTGAATAGGCACCACTCCAATTGAGTTTTATCTTTGCAAGTTTTTTGAAGAATTGACTTGTTTAACCTTAACAAAATGCCGTCTTAAACACTTTTAGCAATTTTATGCTTTTTATAAATGCTCACGTTTGTGGGACTGAGACTGAAACAAAACAACTCAACCCACAAAGCATTCCTAGACAAAACATGGCCATTGATTCCGAATTCAGGCCCAAAAACATGAACTCCATACAGTATGTGATACCATAGATTAAGATTAAACATACTCTTTCAGTAGATTTTTCATCTTTATTAGCTGAAAACAATTATTGTTATTTAAACCTAGTTTGTCCAAAATAAAACGATCTAATCATAAACAATAGTTCGTCTCCTGGTTGTATTACAAGAAATTAAAACACACATCATAGAACGACAACTAACCCTAAAATAATAGAAACAAAATTATGTAGGTACTAATGTCCAGTGTCACCAACATAGACTAACTTAGACATGAAACGAATTTAGAATTAACAATGTGATAAGACGTCTACTTGAGTTATGTTTAATCTATGGTGGTTCTGTATCAAGATTATATTTCCAAAGCAAAACAGAGCAATATTCCGGCCAGTCAAACGGATCCTTAGGTCTGAGGAGAAAATGACAGCATTAATGGTGCTTTGAATTTTTCTAAAACCTATTGCAAACTGAGATTAATATTTTTTTTGTTAATTTTAACAATCTATATATATAAAAGGCAAAGCCCTCACTGACTCACTGACTGACTCACTCACTCATCACTAATTCTCTTACTTCCCATTTACCTAGGAGGCTGAAATTTGGTACACTGATTCTTTAGGCATTAAATAGGAAAACTAAGCTGTTTTTATTCTGATCGAACTCTCAGGTTCCGCCCCAGTGGCCCTGGAGTTTCCCATGTTAACCTTACGAATGGAATTAATGAATCTTAACAGCTGTTTCAATTAAACAAGTTGGTTCTGTTCTATGATGTTCAATAGCATTTAAGTTACAAGGATTACCAACAGGGTGCAGCACTATTATTTCTTTTACATTTATGGCAACAGCTAATTTGCAACCAAAAGGTGAGTGAGCGTAGCGAACGAACTTCTACCTGGAGGCGAGTTAGCGTAGCGAACGAACTTCAACCAGGACGTGATTGAGCCATGCGAACGAGCTCACTTATGAAGTTAAACGGGGCAAAGCCCGCGGGTACAGCTAGTGAATTTATATTTTTTAAATATTCAACACAACGTATTATATATTTTAACTTGATCCTGCAGATTGTTGTAAACTACCTAATAAAAAGATTAGTTAATAACCTTCGTTTTGTGAGGTAAGGATTGTAACTGTGTCTAGCACGCATGCGCCCCTACTGATCAGTAGCGCCAAGCTGGTGATACGAAAGCGTACCGCTCGTCAACATCCCTACAACATACTCCAGTTTAACTAATGTTCGTTACCAATTTTTTAACAAAATTGATGCCTAATGTTAAAAAATACTTTAAATTTTGTAACAATTATTTCTTCTAATGAACTTCAAAATCATAATGCTTTATTAGCCAGAGTTTTTTAATCAGCTCAAAAATATGTTAATTAGCTATATGACTAATTGTTTTCATTTTTAGATGATAAATAAATATTATCCTCTTGGCTGTGCGCCCTCTGGGAGCTCGCGCCAGCTGTCTTAGATTTGCAAACTGACCTTACATTTTAAAGTTCCCATTTTATACTTAAATACCCCCGCCGCAGCAAACCTGCCGTCTAAGCAAATTTCCATTTGGATGAATTGATTTTCAATTGATCTATTTAAATAACATTAGGTTTAACGAGTACCTAGGTTTGCTGCTACAAGGAATCTAATAAAGTGTGTGTTTTAAGTAAAATAATTATTGCTTAGTATTAAATGAATATATTTGCCAAATTTGATCAAAAGATATCCATAAACAAGCAAACTACAACATTTTAAAATATTCTCCATAAGAATAACATGGGAATTTTAAATTTACAATTTTTTTAGTTTTCTCCGTAACCAATAACTGTACAAAAACACTTTGATATACTGAATTGTTTGTTTTTTTAAGCTCTTTAAGAAGGTTTAGAGAAAAATTAGGAAATTTTGTGTTTTGAGGGTCAAAAGTGAGAAAAACCAATTTTTACCCCATAAAATCCCCCATAAAACCCTGTGCCCATGCTCCGATCATGCTGGATCGCAAACTCATTCAAGTTTATCCCGCCTTACACCTTCAAACCAAATTTTATCAAAATCGAATACAAATTACTCAAGTTATCGTGTTCACGGACACATATATATATATAAATCTATATATATATATATATACATACATATATAAAAATTTGAACGAATGGTGTTTTTGGCCTCTGGGGACATCAAAATGAAAAAGTAAATCGGTCCCGGGCCTAAGTCTTACCATGAGATCTACGGTAATAGCTACTTCCCTATAAGGAAATTCGCTATATTTTTTTGCATTTATGATCAGCTGGATAGTTTAATTTCTGTTAATATTTTAGTTGCAATTTCAGGAAATGTGTGCTACAAAAATTTAATGACTTGGTTGAAATGAAATATTTACTATTTGAATTTGGGTTTACGTAAATATTACTATGAAAAAGAGATAAAGCCTGGACAATTTGATATTACTAAAAAGAAAACTGAATTAACAATGTGCTGCATTTCTTGAGCAATCATTGAAATAACCCATTTTCAAACTATGGAAACATAGGAAAGTCATAGAACACCACCAAGTAGAAAAAATAGAATTAATGGGTTTTTTTTTAATTTTGTTGTTATGGACAACTTAATGCGTCTATGAATGGGAAACATTTGTAGAAACACTATAAAACAAGATCAGCTTTTGAAAAATAATAAGATATTTTCATATTTACAAGAAATGTTGATTATATCGAACTGTTATGTAAATCCAAACGTAAGCATTTAAACTACATTTAACATTTAAAGCATTTAAACTAATGTGCTGATGTGATTAATTCCATTTGAATAATAAATGATCCGATGGCAGGATTAAACTTGAGTCTCCATCAAAGGTTTTTCAATGTGTATTTTTCTGAGGAAGGGCTTACTTTGTGATATATTAGTTTTTCCCCTTTATTTACAACACATCAATTTAGAAAATATGTTTGATACGAGTCTACAACACAAGTTTCCAGGTTGTATTTTTCTAAAGAGGGGGGTGACTTTTTAAGATATATGTTTTTACAACAAACATTTATACATCTTGATTCTTTTTTACAACACCTGAATTCAGAAAAATCATATCAATACCAGTTACTAATAGCCCACCATGAAAATAACATGTGGGTAAGTAATAAATGAAGGGATGTATTCTTATAGGAAAGGACTAATTAATTAAAATCATTGCAAAACAGGTCTTTGATACCTTAAAATTTAATAAAATCCATAGTATGTACTCGATTATGTTAAGCGTTAGAGGAATATTTACCTTGTGGATTCTGAAATGTAGAACTTCCATTGGTAATCTATTTTAAATTAAAATATTAGGCCTACATTTTGTGTTGCAGAAGTTCCTGTTGAAACTGTTGAGAAAATAAGAGAAGACATCAAGAATTTAGACAAAAATTTAGGAGTCTATCCTTATGACATATATGGAAAATGGGTGAAACTGGTAGATCATATTTCAGGTATATCTTAAAAAATGTATACCTAGTTTGAAAAATAATTAGGCCTAAATATGTTACTAGCTCAAAATTGTACCAAAGAACTTCAACAGCAAAGAGGGTACCGGTAACCAGGATGGTTGCCAGGAAAAATGTGCTTACAAACATTATTGTAATGAATTTTTAAAATAGTTTTTTTTCTAGGACGCTAGGCGCGAGCCTGGGATTGTTTTTCACATTACTTAAGGCACTTAGATAAAAGTATTTATCTGAATTTGCTTAGGTTTACAACTTGAGACTCCAATCCCAGTATCCCTTGTCAGCAAACCTAGGGTCACAAGGAATGAGTATGGATCATTCTGTATCAGTGCTAAAGTACCTGTGTACCTCCCTTGTGTTTTCCTACCCACCCCTCTTAATTCTTTATGAGTAATTCCTTATTCACTTATGATTTACTGCACATGACTATTTTAAGTAATTGTTATTAATGAAAAAATATCAGTCCATCAAAATTTATCCACACAGTAGTGTCTCAATCATCCAATCTTTGGTTATCTGGCCTTCTGTATTATAAACCCTCCTGCCAAACAGCCAACAATCGAGTACCATACCGTGGCATCAGTGGCGTAGCCAGGATTCTGCTTTGGGGGGGGCCCGATCCGGGGGGTCTGGGGGTCCTCCCCCGGGAAAAATTTTGGTATTTTATGGTGATAAATTGCAGTTTACAACACCTCTGGAGGCTCTAAAGTAGATAATAATATTGGTGTATTACTACTAAAAATTATTTTTTTACTGTTCTGAAATCTAAACAAGTTGCCTAAACTACTATTAATCTGCGTGACGTAATTTTAATAAAATAAATCAAGCTAATAAAACTGCACTCAACTTATAGAATAAAGCATACTAATGGTCGTCCAGTGATCGAAAACTCGACCAAAAATATGTAATGTAACCGCAATGACTATTGGATACTGAAGTAGACACTATATGTACCAGTTGCCGTCATTTTTTTAATTATAAAACATTGTACAGAAGACCCTATATAATCGGCACTGTACCACTCCGGCACTCCAGTAATCCGGCGTCTTTTGGCGGGAGGTCTTCCGCGGTCGCGGCAAAATTCTGATTATCTTCCGCGGCCGTGTAGATATCATCATTCTCTCCCGCGGTCATGAAAACGTCATCGTCGTCTTGCGCGATCGCGGCAATATCATGAACATCTCCCGCGGACGTATAGACGTTATCATCGCCTCCCACGGTTACGGAAACGCCATCGTCGTCTTGTGTGATCGCGGAAAAATCATGAACATCTCCCGCGGTCATGTACTGTAGACATTATCATGGTCTTTCACGGTCGCGGCGAAGATTTTATCATTTCCCGCGGCCATGTAAACATCATTGTCTACTCCCGCAGTCACAGAAACGTCATCGTCGACTTGCGCGATCGCGGCAAAATCATAAACATCTCCCACGGTCACGTAAACGTCATCGCGGCAATAGCGGTTTCCGATCGCGCGATCTTCGGAGACGTGTTTTAATTGCATTTTAAGTGTTTTTATTGATAACATTCCATTAATCCGGCATTTTATATAATAACAACATGTATTGTGTAGTGTGTACGCACTCATTTGAGTGTTTCTAGAACGCGCATTGCAACGCTCCCGTGTGCCGTGTGTACAGGGTAACTAAAAAAAAAAAAAATTCGGGGGGGGCCCGGCCCCCTTGGGCCCCCTCCCTGGATACGCCACTGCGTGGCATTGTGTGTTTTTTCTTTACCTCCACTTAACTGAACTCTCTAAATACTGTAACTCGCTTCATATCACACAGTTTTTCAATTGCTCATACCTGCATAGTTGCCATGTCTTAGTTACAGTGCTGCTAGTGCTTTTCTTATTTTTTACAGTTAATTTTCAGTAGTTACTTTGACTTAAGTTCTGGTTGTGGTTGTACAATACTTACATAATAATACTTGTTCTGAACAAATCTTTTTTACCACTTTTTGCGAATTTCCCTATAGGGAAGTAGTTATTACCCTACTTCCAACGTAACGTAACGTAGGTGGCACGGTAACACCTGGAGCCGGGACCGATATACTTTTTTTCATTTTGATGTCCCTAGAGGCCAAAAACACTATTTGTTAAAATTTGTATATATATATAAATGTATATATACGTCTGTGAACGCGATAACTTATGTACTGTATTTGTTGTCCGATTTTGATGAAATCTTTTTGGGATAAACTTGAATGAGTTCGCGAAACAGCATGATCGGACCATGGGGACAGGGTTTTACTGCTACCTGTGACGTATACGTACACTCTAATAGCCAAATATGACAGGTCTAGTTACTAGTATACTTAGAGAGGTTTTATGAGGTAAAAAATTTGTTTTACTCATTTTTTGACCCTTAATACAAAATATTTCCCAATTTCTCTCTAGACCAGTTAAAAGAGCTTAAAATAACAAATGATTTGGTATTTGAAATTGTTTTTGTACAGTTATTGGTTACAGGGAAAATTACAAAAATTGCCAATTTAAAATTCCCACGTTATTCTTATGGAGTATTTTGTAAAATAATGCAGTTTGCTTGTTTATGGAAATACTTTGATCAAACTAGGCAAATTCATTTATTTTATAGCAAGCTACTAATATCTTACTAAAAAACACACTTTATTAGCCTCCCTGTAGTAGCAAACCTAGGTACCCGTCAAACCTAATTTTATTTAAATAGATTTAATTTAAAATCAATTTAGGCAAATGTAAATTCGCTTAGTTTTTAGGTTTGCTGCGGCGGGGGTATTAACTAACACATGAGGATTTCTTGTGAAGAACCTATACAGTTAAAAATTTCATTTTAAACTGCTTATTTTCATATTGTTTATTTCATCCTAATTAGTTATTTACAAAATTAATACTTCCATAAGATGGAATTGGTCGGACAGTGAACTTGTTTTATTATCAAGGTTAGTGAGAAAACACTTCACTTATGTTGTAGAGAAGCTAGTAGAAAGGCTAGTACCGGAGTCTGGATGTATCAGATCAGCACTGGAGTATACATGTGCTCCAGCTACCAACCAGCCAACCGCACGCAAACGGCGCAGTAGACCCTCCACTGCAGAAGAGAAGGAGGAAGATCTACTACCACAACTGACACCATCCCCCGGCACTCAACTGCGGCTCACGGAGTATCCAGAGCACAACTATCCTGAAGGATCTACTCCACAGGATATCACCCGACACTCCTTGGATTCAACTTACACTCTGGATACCCTGATAGCCAAATATGACAGGTATGACTAGTATACTATCAAATTTGTAAAAAAAATCTAACACAAAAAAAGTATGTAAAGGTACTAAGAATAAGCATTTATATTTTCAGATGATTTATGTAGGTCTTTAAGGTAGACTAACACTAAGAGAGTTTGAAAATATAGCTCATGTTCGCATTCTTCGTTTAATCAGAACCTTATTTAGGGACTATAAAAGTATGATTTCATACGTCCAAATAAATTATTATAAATAGATCAAAAGTTTTAGTTTAGTCTCTGATTTAAGAAACTGGAACAAACTGTCTTTTACTAAGTGAATAATTTATTGTACCTATGTGTTTTCTGTTGACCTTTCACACAATTTTTTAAAGGGTTCGTTCCTATGTCCATTTTAGTTAGCAAATAGTATTTTATTCAATTCGTATTTTGTCAAAGTTGGCCAAAAAAATTGATAACTTAAATATAATTTTTACCAATATTTCACTTAGTAAGTCTCAAACGCAAGCAGAAAGCTGAATTCAGCATTTAAAGTGTCCGTTCAATTTTTAACCGTTAAATTTTAATTTTACTGTTACTGTTGTACAGTTTTTCTTTGACATCAAATTCTGCTACATACTCTTCTTCGTGTGTAGTCATGTGGACCATGCCATTTTCTTGTACCTGTACTCCTAACATTTTTTATGCTACCGTATCAATTATGTATTTGCTTACTCTTGATGTACTAACTAACTGTAATAATTGTTTCCAGGCCCAATGATCTGCTCGGAGAGATTCAGTTCTGTTTTGTTTGTTTCCTGGTTGGTCACTGCCTAGAAGCCTTGGACCAGTGGAAGCAGCTAGTCAGACTGATGTGTAGTTGCGAGTCTGCGGTCTTTAAACGGACTCAAATTTACTCTCACTTCCTCGATGTTTTAGAAGAGCAATTACACCAAATACCTGAGGACTTCCTTGTGGACATTGTAGCGTCAGTCAATCTCATTTACATAAGTCTAAGGTGAGAAAAGTTTTCAAATAAGCAGGTTAAGTTTAAAATTCAAAGTAAAGATGAAAATTGATTAGGGTGGAAATTGGGAAGGGTAATGGGAGGGACAGAAGCCTTTCCCCACCTTTCTTCTGCTACTTTGATGAATACGACTTACAAAATAACAAAAGAGATGGTTGTGGAAAAAGGGACAAATGCACATGGGCATCCTGCTCACCACTCTATATTATGATTCCATCTATAATAGTAGAGATAGTAATGTTAATTTTAAATAATTTATGTCTGGCCTTACTAGATAGAACAATCCAACCATGTGTATACACAACACATGTACATTAAGTACATTTAATGCTGTATGTTTCTTAGGAATCTTTTCCGGACAATGCAGACCAATAGTGAAGTCGATGGCAGACTGAGAAGTAAGGCTGAACGTTTTCAGCAACGATTGACACAGAAATTTGAGTGGGACTTTGAGGATCTCGACCAAGAGGAAGAAGATGAAGCACCTGTAGTTGTTAACTTGTAAATATATTTATTTCCATACTTTTTTAATCAGTTTCCATATTCTCAGCCTTATTATTTTGTTTAATTCATTTAAAGTATAATATCACATAATGTATAATATGATTGGGTAACAACTAACAAGTAGTAATGTAGGGCGCTTAGCTTCAAAACCTTCGGTTGCTAGTTTGATTCACCAAAGGATCAATTAGTTGTGGATTCTGTTTCCATCTGTCATTTACTGGCTGGTAACAAAACCAGGGTTTAAACTGAATGGCTTACAACGGATCTAAAATAAAATAAAGGCATCAGCAATCTGACACATCCTTTCTCCCATTAGCTTATCAACAACCCTTTATCATGGCACATGGGGGGAAAGTTGCATCAACTTTTAAACCGTAATTTTTACAGCAATATGGCTACCGTTTTGTTTAGAGTTTAAATGACTACCTATATCATACACACAATTTGAATCCAAATTGGTCAAGTAGTTTTTAGAAAATCCAATTTTTCAGTTGTTTTATGGGGGAAAAAAATCACAAGAGATACTATAACTTTTGAACCACATTTTTGCAGATGGGGATTGTACCATCTCGGCTAGCTTTAAGAAGCTAGGGCTTTAATCAAAACCAATCAGGCGAATTTTAAGAAAATTTTATATTTTTTTTGTTAGTTTATGGGTTTTTTAAAAAAATCACCATTAAAAATCTAAATTTAAAAAAAATAAAAAATACCTAGAGATACCTTCCATGGTTTAGTAACCACACACAAAATTTCGTCAAAACCGGACCACAGACATCACTTTGAAAACCACTTTTCTGGAGAGGTCTAAAATGTATATAGATCCCAAAACTCAAACTAAAATATTTGATGAAAACAATACTTTATCCATAATTCTATGTATAGGGAGGGAGATAAAAAATACTACTAGGGTCTTTGTGTACACAAAAACACATTTTTGAACTGTAAAAAGATTGATGTAAAACACTTTTTTGTTAACCACATAAGAATAGAAGAATTAGTTTTCAGTAATTTCTCTATCTTAAAGTCATTACTTTTGACCCTATTACTTCTAAGAACTCTTGCAAACGCGATTTACATTACACGATTAGGCGAAGAGAGGACAAGCAGCAATTTGTGGCATATTTTATAGATTATAGACTGTGGCAACATATCACACTTGCACTTTTTACTGAAATTAACTTATACTAGTGTACCTTTTGCTCGAATTCGAGCAATTGCAAGGTATTACAGGTGTTATTTTAAAACGAATAATATTCATAATTTCCGATGACTTTAATGGAGCCGACTCAAAGATTATGGAAATACTTATGATGTACAAACAGTTCGATATAATCGTTTCTTGTAAATATCTTATCATTTTTCAAAAGCAGATCTTGTTTTTTAGTATTTTCTACAAATTTAATGTTTTTCACTTAAATAGCCGCATTTGGTTGTCCATAGTAACGATTATAAATTCTTTAAAAACATTAGCCTATTTATATTTCTTCTACTTGGTGGTGTTCTATGATTTTTCTATGTTTCCTTAGTTTGCAAATCGGCTCTTTCAATGATTGCTCAAGAAATGCAGCACAGTGTTGATTCAGTTTTCTTTTTAGGATATCTAATTGTCCAGGCGTTCTCGCTTTTGTCCATTGTAATATTTACACCAACCAAAATTCAAATAATGTTTCATTTTATTTTAACCTTGTAGCACACGTTTCCTTAAATTGCAACTAAAATATTAACAGCAATTAAATTATCCAGATGATCATAATGTAAACAAATATGATCTTCATTAGGATAACATGGGAACTTAAATATCCACTGGGGCAGAGCCTAAGGGACTCTTTCAAAAATCTAAGGTCAGTTTCCAAATCTACACACCTAGACGAACATTTTGGAATATAATATGTGCGGTTAAATCTTGAAACAAAAAGCCTTGTTTTTTACAAAGTTGCATGTAGCGTATTAATAATATAGATTTTTTCTGACTCAATATCTGCAAAGGTGCAATCAGTAAGAATAATTGTATAAATTCTAACTTTATATGCTATATAAGAATAAACTCAGGAATCAAAGACTAGAAAAATAAAATTATCTGTATTTATTGATGCATGATTAACAAATACATTTTTAAAGTAGCTGGTAGGCCTACTTTAATTGACTTGTGTGCTCGTTAGTGCATTTACTTATCATTCAAAATGCTAACAATAACTAGCTTAGTGTAACACAACAACAACTGTAAAAAAATATAAGAGCTCTATAAATATAAATGTATACAAGCGTTTTGATTGGCTGTCATAATTGTACTATATAAGTAACAAAACACAAGATGTATTTTTAAGTAACAAACAGATCTATCTATCTATTAGGCCTTTAACTCAGATCTAAATCTTCTATATTGTAAAAATACTTTTTGATTCTCAAAGAATGAATGGTGCATGAAAAATGCATTCATGCATTTCCCAATAATGTACAATAGTAAGCTTCTTATAAATCAGAACTTTGGTATGCTTAATCAATAAGCTATGCCTTTTAAAAATGAATTTCAAAAAATTACTATGGATAAGTATCATGTTGTTAAACGACTTGAATGTTTGTTTTAAAATGAATCAAAAACTTTAAATAGCTCAAAACGGGCTCCAACCAGTTGTAAAACAGCTGCCATTAAGTATGATATATAACTATTTTTCAAGTACAACTTGTATAAGAGTACCTATAATATAAAAGTAACATAAATAAATTTTTCAACAACACAGCTTAGCCGAATCAAACAACATCAAAACAACACCTGCCTTTTGAGGCAAATTTTGACACAAACAATATTTACAAATAACAAAATCGTAGAAAACTAAAACCGAGGAATGGATGGGACAAAGCAGGTTCTAACATACAACTCGTTATACGATGGACGAATATCAACGACAATAACCTTGATACTCAACTTGAGTGCATTACTCAGTCAGGAACACAGTTCTTGTAGTGGTACAGAGCTGTCTGAAGCAAACGTGCACCGAGTGCTCTTAAACTGTCAACAAACACAAAACTATTATTATACATTTCTGTAATTTATGGTTTTAGCAATGTCTTTTGTGTTGCATTGTTTATAAATATATCAATTTCTTTTTGGCTGTTAAAAAATAGATCTTAACCGTCCTCAGCCTTCGCACTCATCTGTTTGTATGGTCTATCACCACCTGATGGTCAAGGTAGTAAATGAGGTACAGTACGCATGTTTACAATGATATTTCACGTTTAACTTGTAAAACGATTTGTTCGTATACAAACAAATCAAAAACCACTGAGTTACATTGTGTGTAATCTATATAAATAAAATTAGAGTTTTGTCTGTACATTGTTCAGAATCATAAACTTTTAGGTTATTTTTACGTTTTATACATTAAAGAAAACGAAACAAGTCTTATCTAAATTTCTGCCTGTCTGTCACGGCCCAAGAGCCATTTTACGCGGCCTTCTCCTGAAAAACGAGAGTACCTATCAAGTTCCAAATCATTTTAATGTATTCACTGGATTGGCAAAATTGTCTTTAGCCATTCAAATATGGCGTCACTACTTTGTAAATAAAATGACGGACGTTTAAAAACCCAATTTTATGCGATTTTTTGTAAAGTTTTCCCAATGTTTATCACATATTCATCTATGAAATAACGAACAGCTGTTCGAATCAAGATTATTTCTTCTAGCTGTCACTGATATGTTTACATTGAATGTTGTTTACAAATACCGCAACCATTTCCAATCACGTTTTGAAAGCAAATCCAAACCAAGTAAGATTAAAAACGTTTTTCCTTACATAACGGATTTAATTAATCGCAAGTGCAATAATTTGTAGGGTATCCGTAAATGAAAATAGAGAATCTTTGTGTATAAAATTGTTCTTGAGTTTTGACAACCAGGAAAAAGACCTTGAATCAGTGTTATATATGGCTGGGAAACAGAAATTTTTTAAATGAGTGTTTTCAGTCGAGACTCGGCACACGACCGACGTGTGTCTACATGCCCATAGTAAAAATAAAAGTAGGCATACCGTGTATTTATGTTTTATTCGTCATGTGTTTTGCCGAAATGCATCTCCTGTAATAGGATACATTAGGATCGACCGGCGGACACAGGTAATTTAACCTTTTATTGATTGTCATACCGATCCGGAACAACAACAAACAACCTAAAATGAAGTTATGTATACCGGTAATAGTTTGGCCAGCATATCTGAAAATATGCAAACCAACTGCTGTTTTTATATATGAAGGTTTCAAATGAATACTAAAAGATCCCCGTGCGTAGAACGGGTACACAGCTAGTTTAATATAAACTAGTGGCCATCCAGTGGTCAAAAACTCGACCAAAAATATGTAATGTACAGGCTTTATTATTTTCACCCCACGCTGTAAAGAAAACATGTGATTGGAATTTCTTTCATTTATTTTGATTTTCTGCTTATATTTCGTTTTTATTTTGTCACCAGCATAGCAACCCATAAGGCCCATGTTAATTTTTTTTACTTTATTAACTCATTTTTTGTGCTTATTTTAAAACCTATTTTAATTCTGCACATCTACAGGAAATATCTTTCCAACAGTAATAGGTACATAGATATTTGCTGCAATGCACACAAGCTGAGAAAAAAGGTTTTAAAGAAACATGCTTTAAATATATAGATTGCAAACAAAAATAGTTCTGTTAAAAACAAACAATGTAATTATAACAAAATAGATGATACTAAAAAAATTTGATTTGAAATTTTTTAAACAATGCTTTGGATATATGAAAACAATTTTTAAGTGCTGTTTTTGCCTACAGCTCTTTAGTTTGGATGTACACCGCAACAAGGCTCCTTGCCGCTTTTTTTAACAAAGGGCCAGGCTTACAAGTGACCATGAGATTGCATCGCAGCTGAAACAGCTTATTGTGCACAATTTTACTAGCATACAACTACTACTACTAGCATAGTCCTCGCCGCTTACTAGTATTATTATTTGTGAACAGAATGACCATTTGCAGCTCTGGAGTGGACAGTACACTTTGCTGTGTGTTTCTAAACATTTTCAAATTGTTGAATCTCTTGCCACATGCGGGATAAAGTCAGTGATACGTTTTGTCATTACAAGAAACATATGATGCGGACATATATCTCCAGTATTGGCTCTGGTGCAATAATAGATAGTAATGGCAGAAAGAGGTTAGGGAGTTTTAAAATGGCTGTGAAAATGTTTATTTTGAAAGTAATAGTGTATTTGGTGTATTTGGACTTCTCACAGAGGACCACAAAGGAAGAAGGATTTCACGGCCATTTTTACGCTCCATAACCCAAATCCGCACTTTACCCTCACTCATTGCACTAGGGCCATAACCTTCAGTCATCTGGCAATGAATTTTGGCTCTGGATATGTCTCTTGTAATCAAAAAACGTGTCACTGACCTTATATAGCAAGCGACGGGAGATAAAAAAAAACACACACACAGGGAAATATACACATCAGCTACAGAGCTCTAAATGGTATCATTCTTTTCACAAATGATGGCAGTAAACGGCAAGGAGCCTGTTGCGGAGTACACGCAAACTACAGAGCTGTAGACCAAAACTGCCCTTACTTAAAAGTTGCACTTATACTTTTTATTTGTAATATTACTCATAAAATAATTTATCATATACAGCTTTGCCTTTGCTATTTTATTGCTGTTTTAAAATTAAAAAAAAACTGATTATCAATTATTTTTTGGGGTTATATACAGTACTGAATCAAGGTTCTGTTGTTTCTAATGCAATACAATGTAGTAGACGTACCATCCCAGTATGGGTGTAGCCAGTTTTATAGTAAAAGTGGACATAGTTGAATTGAGCCACCCATCAATGTGTATAGTTTAACTGGATCACTCCCTGGCACGAGAACAAAAAAACTGATGGTGCAAAGCAAATTAGACAGTTATCACACTCTATGAGTGGCCCATTCAACTAAGTTCTATAGCCCCATTCACTCGGGGCGAGATTACAAGCTACAAGCCGGCTATTTTACATGCAGCTAGTAAAATAGCTCAGTGTGAACGACGTACTCGCTCAATAGCTGCTTGTAAAAATGCTCTGGAAAAAGTTGACTCTGCAGCTACTTTACACGCCAACTTGCCAGCTTTTGAGCAAGTAGGTGTGTAAATTAGCCCAGTGTGAACACAGTTGTGTGCACAGTGTGTGTTGTGTGTGTACAGTATGTGCTTCTGCACATGTTATTCAAAGATGTCGAAGGATTTGGTTCAAGTCAGCTACTGGGCTAGTGGAAAAAGCATATTGTGAACGACTACAAGCGCACTCGCCGGCGCTTTCTAAACTTCGGCAAGTTGGCGAGTGGACAAGCTCCATGTGAACGAATACAAGCGCAATCGCCGGCTTCTTACACGCTGGCGAGTAGCTTTTAAACTCGCCGTGTGTGAACAAGGCTTATATAAATAAAATATTTGCAAAATCTGGTCCTTATAAATGGGACGTCTACTACAGTATCCAATAGTCAATGCTAAAGTGTACTATGTTAAGCATTATTTATATACTTATGCTTGCAGCAGTTCTGCTCGAATGTACCTAGTTTTCATATCAATAAAAACTCTGTATAAAGCCACTTTAAACTCTACCAGTTTAACCATACTTGCTGTTAAAGCTATTCAAAATTACAAGTTAATTCTACAAATTCATCTTGTGAAATTTCATACTTAACTGAACATGAATGCAAACAAAGCACCCTAAAAATAAATGATATGTTATGGAGAATATTGGGTCTACATGAAAGCTCAAGTCTTGACATGGTTAAGAATAAAGATTTAAAACATAATTATTTTTTATGAGTTTGATTTTTTTATTCAGTAAAAGCCATGCACACCTACTATACAAAGAATGCCTCTACAGATCTAATGAAACTTCAAAAGTTATGAAACTATCAAATCCTGCAGTAGAAAATGTGCAGCTTTAAGTTTTTAAGTTGATACCTACTAGTCCAGCAGAATTTCTAAAGAAATATCACAAACAATTATTATCGGGACCACATAAGTTTGCAGTTGAGGGAGGAGTCTATTTACCATATGGGTTTGAATGAACCAATGAGAACCGTGCGGTGTTGCCAAATCTAATAATACCAGCTGATTAAAAAATATTGCTAAGTATATTTTATTAGTGCGATGTGGCAACGTTGCACTAGCCTTGTCTTGTGATTGGCTGCCACCAACTGCAAACTTACGTGGTCCCGACTATAGGTAAAAACTATTTGTTAACACTTTACATATTTTCTTATAAGTACCTGGGGACCGAGCTTTGCTCAGGTAAAATCGTTAGTTTAATATGAAAGCAGTCTTAGTATTGCAGATACATTAATCCATTCCCAAACTCCACACTGCTCACCTTTACTACTTCGTTCACCACTTCCTACGTCGTGGGTCTGTTTCCTTCACTTCCCATAGCATTTTAAGATTGCAGATACCTTAATCCAATCGTCATAAACTGTTCCCGCACTCCGGACTGCTCGCCTTTACTACTTCCTTCACCACTTCCTACGTCGCAGACCTGTTTCCCTCCCTTTCCATAGCATTATAGGATTGCAGATACCTTAATCCAATCGTCATAAACAGTTCCCGAACTCCGGACTGCTCGCCTTTTCTACTTCCTTCACCACTTCCTACGTCGCGGACCCTTTTCCCTCCCTTCTCATAGCATTTTAAGATTGCAGAAACCTTAATCTAATCGTCATAAACAGATCCCACACTCCAGACTACTTGCTTTGACTACTTCCTTCACCACTTCCTACGTCGCGGCCCTGTTTACCTCCCTCCCCATATCATTTTAAGATTGCAGATACCTTAATCTAATCTTCAAAAGCAGTTCCCACACTCCGGACTACTCGCCTGGACTACTTCCTTCACCACTTCCTACGTCGCGAACTTGTTTCCCCCCTTCCTATAGCATTTTAAGATTGCAAATATCTTAAATCAATCGTCATAAACAGTTCCCACACTCCGGACTACTCACCTTGACTACTTCCTTCACCACTTCCTACGTCGCGGACCTGTTTCCCTCCCATCCCATAGAATTTTAAGATTGCAAATACCTTAATCTTATCTTCAAAAACTGTTCACACACTCCAGACTACTTGCTTTGACTACTTCCTTCACCACTTACTACGTCGCGGACCTGTTTCCCTCCCTTCCCATAGCATTTTAGGATTGCAGATATCTTAATCTAATCGTCGTAAACAGTTTCCACACTCCAGACTGCTCACCTTTTACTACTTCCTTCATCACTTCCTACGTCACGGACCTGTTTCCCTCCGTTTACATTGCATTTTAAAATTTCAGATACCGTAATCTAATCGTCATAAACAGATCCCACACCCCACACTGCTACCCTTGACTGTATCGAGTTCAGTTTAATCTTTGCTTAATAGTAACAACTGGATGTTTTTCCTTTTGTACTGTATTTTGTTTTGCTAGTATACTGTGGATAGAGAACTTCTGCACATGCGCAAGCTAAGGTGCCCGTGGGTACAGAACGTCAAGTTATGTCTTAAAATGTAAACAAAATGACAACAATGGCGGAATGTTTTCTCATAAGGCCCATGTTAAATTTTCAAAAGTTTGTACTCATATTATGGCGAAAATAGATTTTTCCTGGCTATACCACTGGTTTAGAACTTATTTTTGACCCAGAACTTAGTTATTCCGTAAATATAAACGTTTTTGTTAGAGCCGATTCCCAGATCGAAGTAACAATTATTCAAACTTTACTCGTATTATATATAGGATAATCATATTATAGCCTATATGGTTTTTGTTGTTTACAAAAAAGGAGAATTTGATTTTAGTCTGGTGAAATGTACATAGAGTAATAATATACAATTACTACCCAAGAACACAGGCAACAAAAAAGGAAATAATTTTTCCTACAGTCATCCGACAAAGTTGGCTTCCTTGTACTGTTTATAGTACAGAAAGCTGCTAATTGCTGCATATTTATACTTTGCCGTACGGTTTATACTTTGCCGCACATCAGGATTCCAACGAAACAACACAAAACAGCGTGGTTCCATTATGCACGTAATCCGTGTACGCTTGGAAATAGGTTGGCAACACTTAAAGATAATTATACTATGAGCAGCTGATTGACTATTATAACTACGATTTAACCTGTCATTTCGTGTTTATAGTTTCGGTATTTCTGAACTTTCTGGACTTTTCTTTTAAACGTTTTTAAAACCTTCCTACGATCTCAATAAACAAGAAAATACCTTTTAAGAATTTTTTTTTAGGCGCAGAAACCACTTCAAATTACAAAAACATACGGAACTATATTCTCAAAACGCGGAGCACATTTCTTGCCGAGGAAAAATAGCGGAGTGATATGGACCGTGGGTACTACTTTCTCTAGGGCACCATTTGTGTTGCTAGCTGAACCTTAAAACGTGTTGCATAGTGTTTGAAAGACTAATTATTTATATGCTTTATAGTGACTGTAGGAAAAATATAATGTGTAACACGAGTGAAAAAGGCCTTTGCTGCACTCGAGATCATTCCACACTCGCCTGCGGCTCGTGCGTAAACATTGCTCTCGTGTGCAGCAAAGTGCCACTTTCACCACTAGTTACACAAATAACTATTTCCTACAGTCACCCGACAAAGTGGGCTTCCTTGCACAGAATATTATAGTACAGAAAGCCTTACTTTGGCGCACAGTTTTTACTTTGGTGCACACCAGTTTTCCAACCAAGCAACACAATACAGTGTGCTTTTATTATGCACGTAATCCGTGTGTGTACGCTTGAAAATAAGTTGGCAATACTTAAAGATATTATGACAACGATCAGCTGGTGCAGCATTTCCCATTTCGTTCAATGTTTGGATTGAACATAACCTAAAAACATGTTGTACAGTGTTTGAAAGACTAATTATTTATATGATTTACAGTAACTGTAGGAAAAATATAATGAGTAACACGAGTGCAAACTACTGCCTTTACTACACTCGAGAACATTCCACACTCGCCACAGCTCAAACATTTCTCTCGTGTGCAGCAACGTGCCACTTCGCCCACTAATTTCACAAATAACTAATAATATAAAAATTGTTTTGAACATTAAAATGGTTTTAACTTTAACCTTCCATTGGGCGCATCACTGAAGTTACCTTCGGGACACAAAATTTTTTGTTATAAAGACCATAGTTTGCGTTCGGCAGGGCTGTCGCCTGCTGTACCTCACGCACCTCTTTTGCAGAATCGGTTTTGGCTACTCTTACCCCTTTCCCAGTTGTCAGTCGACCTTGGGGAGAGGTTCGGTTCGGTCAGCCTCACTACTGGAAGTAGCTTCCGTGAAAGCCCTGTGATGGAACAGGTTTCCTGGAGTCTTATTTTACGATATTATCAAATGGATGGTGAAGAACAAATTGCGTGATTGTTGGCTAGTGTTGAAAGGGAGGACAGGGAACAACATTTAGTGGAAAGACCTACTGGCGTGTGTTTGTGATTTTTTTTATTTATTTATATTTTTTTTAAGACCTTTGACAAAATGAGTAGTCCTCTTACAAATTTTTTCTAAGAGCTTTAACAAAATAAGTTGTCCTTGTATGAAATGATTATTTACATAAGACCATAGGTGTTTTTGTTTTTATGTCATACACTTATGTTTGTCTAAGAACATTTACAAAATGAGTTGCTCTTGTAACAAATGATTTTTCATTAGAACATAGGTGTTTTTATGTCATATACTATTGCAATTTTTTCTAATTTTATACGATAGTACTGTGTACAAAAATTAAGTTGTTTTTATCCACACTTATGTATTTTTATCGTTTGGTAATATATCATTTTCTATTTTATATACAATTCAAGTAATAACATTGACTATTGGATACTGAAGGGAACTCATAAAAAATGTTTTTCTTACAGTTTTATTGCTATTAAAATGTTACCTACTTATCATTGTATGGTTTTTGTACTCCCGGAAGTAACTTCCATAAGCGCCCTTTGATGTTTGAAAATCAATGCGCCCGTCAGAAGGTTAACAACAAACTAGCACTCTTTGAACTGTTGTCAACTGTTTTTCAAATCATTTTTTAATTGCCACTTTAAATAATATTAAAAGCAGCATGTTTTAAAACTAACTGCGGATAACACATTTCATAAGTTACAAAAATTTGAGCTATAATTTTATCTAAGAAATAATGTTACAATTAGAAGAATATTTTATTATCACAGTTTTATTGTCTCCTAAATGAAGTTATGTATACCTTAGGTTTAGTGGCAATACTCACAGTTAAGCAGTCCCTTGGCCTTCCCCAGCACAGAGCCAATGCCAGCCTCTGCCTCCCCTGTAGCCTTGCCTGTGGCGTCCTTGATCTGCTTCACCACCTCGTCTCTCTTCTCATCTACAAAGTGGTCAGCCTCTTTCAACTTCTGGTCAACCACTTCTCCTACCTTTCAGACAGAGAAACAATATTACTTTCAAATATGAGTAAACTGGGACGTAATGAGGAGGATATGGATAACTGAACCTACTAGACAAGATGTGTTGATAAGCCAAAGTACCGTGCAAACGACCAATTTAGTAAGTAAGTAGGAAAGTCTTGGTACGGTGTAATAGCAGCATAGGTCGAGTTTGGTACCAAAGGCTTAGTTCGTAAAACACATCATTACCGCAAACCCAAACTCAAACTGACAACCTAGTAAAAATTGACAGCTGTTTTAAGATTCATTGAATTTACTCGGAGGGGCGCCCGCTAGAATTCAGAAGAAAATAATAACTTAAGCACAGATCGATATACACATAAAATTAAAGGTCTTTATTTGTAGACTACAAATAAAGATTCAAAATGTGGAGATTCAAAAAATATTTAAAAGTCTACCATTTTTGACTCAAATGTCTGTTCGAGTTCGGGTTTATGGCAATGCGTTCTGACTAAACCCCCTAAAACTTCAGCTGTGCTTTAATCCGAGGCAACAAAAAAGTAAGAATGTAGTAAGAATGTATTTTAATACATTGATTGTACAGTTTTGGTTGTTGCAAAATACAAAAAGTTGATGAAACAATAACAGATGTTATTGTTTATGTCGGCAAAACTCAAAAAAGATAGTAAACATTATTTTTAAATAGTAAACAACTAAACAAAACATTCTTTTTGCGTAGTAAACAAAATGATGAATTTACGTAGGTGATAAAAAAAACCTATAATGAAAACAGGTGGCTTCATTTCACAGCAGTGTAGGGAAAATATTACTTCTTTTCAGTACCTCACCCACCATCTTTAATGTCATACAATCTTGATCTTGTAAACCCATTAAAAATAAGGGTTTAAATCTCCTAAAACAAAAAATGTATTTTGCAATCATCTGTAAACAAGTAGAAAACTTTATAATAGTGAACGATGAGTTTATAAAATCTTTTTACCTGATGAACTGCACCCTGCACTGCCCCATGGATCTGGCTATCCAAGCCTCCTATTGCACCAGCGATTGCTCCACTGACAGCATCACTGGCGCCACTAGCAGCATCACTAGCGCCAGCGGTGGCATCTTTAGCTGCTTCTGTGGCTGCCTCTGTCTTAGCCGCTGCTTCCGTCTTAATTTCTGAGGCCTGTGACACCGATTTTACAACATCCACAATCCAACACACTTAAAACTTAATAAAAATAAGCAACCAATTTAAAGAAAACATTTTAAGCTCTGATTATTGTATGTTTCAAAATAAAGGAAAACAATAGTTTTTAATCATGCTGCTTTCATATGCGGTGTGCATTAAATAAATGATTGAGCAACAAAGTGCAACAAATACAGCAAAATTATTTCTGGGTTTCATGTGCCATTATTTTTACAACCATGCTGCAGTATAAGCATTTGCCAAGAATGGTTCTCTCATGTTCAGCACCAAGATTTCTTTCATTAGCCAATTTAAGTCTCAAAACTGAACACTGGGTGTGTGCTTGTCCACTATCGGAACATAGCGTAGTGTAGGCCTATGTTCAATGGTGACAGTATAAATATTTGGATTGGGTACAAATTAAAACTTTTTGTCAATGGCTTTGGACTTATTTTCTAAATGTTGAGATAAAACTAGAATGTACAGAATCTGAAAAATTAAAATGTTTATACTTCAAAGTTTAGTAACATATATCATAGTTTACGTTTGATAAGAATCCAAGGTGACAAAACACTAATTAAAATTGAACAACAGAAAAACTATTTAACATGTACAAAATGAAGTGTTGGGAAATGTTTTAAATTCTGGGTAACCTTAAACTAAGTTATTTTTTGTTAGTCAACAAAACACAAAACCCCAAGAACGAAAGTTTTCAAATTCCAATAATATATCACTCCACTTCAAACTGACATACCGGAATTAGTTTTCCTAAAAGGGGAACTAATCCTCCTATCTGAAAAAATCGTGGTCAGATTTAGTTTTTGATTAACTTAAATATTACTAAAAACATTAGTAAGCTTTTATTTAATACAGGGTGAGGCAGTGAAACGGCATGATTCCTATACCAGCTGACAAGGAATTGGGGGCTATTAGAGTACGGGGGAAATGGTCATAGCCGTCTAGAAAAGTGGAAATTTCAGTAGCCATGGAGCGTTGGACGAGTGCACAACACACGTTTGCTGGAAAGGCATATTTATAAAAACGTGTATATAATGGTTTGTGCTCAGCGCGCTTTTTGTTGTGAGTTCAGTCTATCGCAGCGGGCTCCCGTGCCATCAAGGAAAGCTACCCTCCTTTGGGTGAATAACTTTGGAGCCACTGCTAGCACAATAAAGCGCTATAAAACGATTGCAGACTTTATGGAAACGCTAAAAACTGTCATGGGGTCATTTCAATTCATAATTCAAAAATGTGTGCAAAACCTAACACGCCATTTTACTGACACTGTATTAAACAATATTTTTATTTTTAAGGTGAAACATTAATTTCCACTCATGTACTTAGGATTTATGTTAAAACAACTATCTTTTTCTTCTAAATAAATTATTCATGATTTTTTTAAATCGTGCCGTTCCACTGCCTCACCCTGATACAACACATAATAACTAAAAAAAAACAAATAGGCTATTGATTTGAGTTCACACCAAGTTATATGAAAGCCATTATATAGAATTCATATTGGTAACTTTATTCGACTTATTTGAGCTGTTAGTACAGGAGGTTTTTTTTCTCATTATTGGAAAATTTTATTTCCTGTAGTGCAAGGAGGAACATTTAATACAGACTGCCGAGGGAGTAGCGTATTTTTTGAGTTTATAAAACTCGATCTTCATTGTAAAAACTAGCAACTTTTCTTAATCTCATGTTTAGTTTTGCCCATAAACTGAGAGTAACTACATTACAAACAAATTATTGCAGAAAGTATTGGTATTATTGTGACATGTTATGTTTATGTTTAGGCAGTAGGCCTACTGTTTTTACAAAAAAAGCACAACATTACAGAACAACATTAATGCAAACGGAAAAATTGTTGGAAATCATTTATAGCTGTACCTGCATTGCCAGTTTACTTCAAATTCACAGCTAATTACTTCTCCAGTACTGCTTATGTTAGCTAAGCTGTAACTGTTAAACCTCCTCAGTCCTCTCTTACCTCCTTAACTGCTCCCTCTGCGGTTTTTTCAGCATTGGCACACTCCCTGTCAAAACCATCAATGGCAGCCTTCTTGGCATCACAGGCAGCTCCTACAGCTTTCTGCTCAACCTGCAGACATATTTAGATTGTCTCTACAAAGTTACAAAAACTAGAATATTTATCGCCATTAGCCATCACAAAGATAGTTCTTGATTTAATTATTTGTACCGGTACTCAAAAGGAATCCATATCCTTTAACAAAGTTATGTTAACATCCCATCATATTTCTTGCCTTGTTTTACAATTTATTTTTAGATGTGTGCACTTGCACTTATAGTTTATTTCATGAATACCAACAATTTATAAAACTTAACCCCAAGTCCTTGGAGCGCCTCCTTCTTAGGGTTAACTTAGAAGCCCTTGACTTCAATTTATAGTCAACCAAGTTTTATTAAGGTAACTGAGTAGAAGTTGTGTCAAAATTTTAGCAGTCTCAGTAAAATTTTGATATCCTTTTTCATAACCCCTTGAGTGCACTTTCTGACAATAGATAGGATTAGCTTTGTGATACGATCAAGTTTTTTTAATAATTTTAGAAGGAATGGATCTAACTCCACTTATCTTCTCAGGTAGCTTTTAGTAAATGTAAGTAATGTAACTACCAAGACCTGAAGGAATTGCAGGAGTGGAATTTCCATGTAGATATAGGGCCTATTCAGATAAGCCTGTGTTGAAAATAAAGAATAAGAAGAAGGTACTACTATTCTGTTAAGTTGCTGTCAGTTTGGCCATTCAATTACCGTAATTATAAGATCCTTATAAGCATAAGTCATGCAAGGACCAATGAATAAGCTATGTGAGCCTTTGGAGCTATTGCCAAAAATATGGTTTCCAGACAATTTTTGAATTTTACCAGACTTTCAATAGGCTATATTATCAGTTGACCATTATGGATGTTTAAGGTTTACGTCACCAAAATAACTTTGTCAATTTTCCAGTCTATATTGTATGCCAACATAAAATCTAGTGATCAAAGTCATCTGCATGACTACTCATACCTATACATTTGACTATTCCTATACCAACAATATCTATTGCCACTTGTATTTTCCTTCCAATCCTAAAATTTTGCTTTCTTGGAGTGCAAGAATATTATTGATTATCAAGCAGGGAACACACTCTATGATCCTTCAATGTTGGAACCGAAAAAAGTTCATTTCTTAAGCTACTTCTGATTTGGCCCTCAATGGGTATGGTATGACTGTGACTATTCAGTCACTAAAGTTGGTTTGTTTAACACCACCAGGGGTGCAAGTTCCAGTCTTGTGTATGTGTGTACATACCCCAGCCTTGGTGCTGAGGAGAGCTTCACTTGTCTTCTTCACCTGCTGCTGAACCAAGGTCTCAGCCTCCTTCTTCTTCTCTATTGCCAACTCCTCTACCTCCTTCTTTGTCTTCTCCACCACATCCTCAACTTGGCTAGTCAAGTTTTTGAGAGCTGTAAAATAAACAAGTGGATTAGTAACCATTATTTGAATCTGAATACATCAGTATATCAGTAACTTGATTTGTAAAATTTAATGACGACTATATGAAGTCATAAATGCTATTAAAGGTTCAAAAAGTGTATAATTATCTGTAATTTTTATTCTATTTCGTATTTATTTTTGCCTACAAGGCAATTACAGCAACAGGCAACAATTAGTCAACAACAAAAATATATTGATGTTGGTAGTATACACAATTCACTTAAGCTTAAAGATATATCTTAATTGTGATAGTAATACTGTCATTTGACAGCAAAAAATAATATACAAAATAAAGTTATCGTGTAGGCCGTTTAAAGGCGGGCAACTATTGGTGGCGCCTTCAACTGGTCGATATACAGACTGCAATGCATTAATGTTGAGCTGGCAGACTTCTGACGGGGAGCTTCCGTTGGAAATTAACACAATTAATATTTTATTCAGTAAAATCTGTAGTTAGAGATGTGTAACTAATTTACATTATCAAACTTTCAGTTTTATTTGTGGTCCTTGGATTTGTATTAGAGCCATACCCAAAACTACGTATTAGAAAATCGCCTGCGTTTTGTTTTGAAATATTTTTTGCACCTTGATGTTGCAGGATGATAAAAACATGACGCTAAAATAATGTAGAAGAATTAAGTGCAATATTATTGGTGCTTTACAATAAGTATTTCGTTTTCTGTGGTAACGGTAAATGTAGTATTTTGTTCTCTCCATCCTCGATGTATTATAAAACATTCACTTGAAAGGTCACAGCTTCAATATAGGTACTACCACAGTACAGACAAAATACCATTAGTCTGTTGTGCTATTTGTAAAATATGTTTACCGCGGTTGCCTATAAACAAAACTAATCGTTAAAACATGCTAATACAATATTAGTGTCAGTGATGGTTCCGCAATAATGTACATAAATCGCGTATCTTTAATTATGGTGTACTATTTTTAACTTAACACGAACTTTTGAAAACGATACAGTATTGTTGGCAACTTCATTGTTGGCTTGATAGATAATTAAGTCTACTAAAGTTGTGGCCATATTATATCTTGAGGTCATGATTGAAACAAGTGATTACACAGACTATCGAGGCAACAAATGAGCAATCTGCCTCAACAAGACTCGGTGTTGCCAACAGATAAACAAGCAGAAGAGAAATAAATACTGTTTCAAGTCTGCTGGGACGGTTCCAAACTGATGCTTTCTCCTAAAATACTCTCCACAAGGTTAGTCACGTCTTTTTCTGCAAATAGCTATGTGTGTTCATATTAAATCTACGAGGATATCAGTTTAAATTCAGTTGCGGTTCCAGTGAATTTTGTCAATTGTTTGTTATTCTTTCAATTTATTACTTTATTAAAATAAGGTGTGATTATTTGTTTGAATCACTGTAATTTTTTATTTTAGCAACTTAACCAATCAATAGTTTTATTGAAGTCAAACATACGGGGTGAAGCCCGTGGGTAACAGCTAGTTGATATAATTAATATTTAACCAAATACACGAATAATATCTGGTGAGATGGTCCTGAACTTCACATATTTTCGTGGCTTAAAAAACTTTTAAATTACATCACATGGTAAGTATATTCTGTGTATAGGCATGCTGCTATGCTCTACCTTACTGTACTGGACGTACTATTTATATAACTATTGAAGAATGACGCGAATACATTCATGGATGTTCAAATTCACACTTCAAACGGACTCGACGTCAATGCTTAAGGGACCGTCTGTCTGTGTATGTGTATTGTCATTGAATATTGGATACAGAAGTTGTTGTATTAATAGTCAAATGTATTGCACAGTCTCGAAGCAGCAGCAGAAGATAGCGTCAACATCAACATAACACAGCCTTGTAACCTTGACCATCACAACTGCGCGGCTCTGGACCCAGACCGCCAGACCCAGCCCAAGGCCAGCTCCATATTGAACGCTCGTCTCTCTACCAACCTTGCGCTTGCCTCTTCCTTGTTAACTCTTGTTGGCGTCTTCCTGGTATGGGGGTTTTCAAGAAAAATTACATTATCTCAATAAAAATGGCAATCCGTTTTAAGTTTTAATTTTTTCCCTTCTCTGGTGGTCTCTAATGATTTGAAATTGGTGAACATTTTATAAATATTGTTACAATAAATAATAGATGATTTTGGCAATCATTTTGACCGGTAGTCACAATAGGTACTATTTCACTATTTTTTTACGCAGCTTTAATGCGTATGTTAAACCAATACACCAATGGGAGATAGTTGAGATACCTCGTGTACCTTTGTTATCGTTTAAGATCAGCTGATTCTCAACCTGAATCATTTATCCCAGTCAGTGGTCAAGGACAGCATCGTCTTGTTTCGAACCATAAAAAAAACTACTGAACTTTTATTTAACATTCATGACCGATCGTAACTACCAAGTGCTGGATTGTATGTGAACATTAAAGCCACTGAACTGATAGCAATGGATCGATTGTTATTCATGAAGCACGATTAAATTAGCTGGTTAAAACTTATTTCGTCAGCAACACTAAATACCCCCGCCGCAGCAAACCTGCAGACTAAGCGAATTTCCATTTGACTAATTGGATTTACACTGAAATGTCTACTTAAAAATATAACACTTATTCCCTATTTAAATAGAATTTGTTTAACAAGTACTTAGGTTTGCTGCATCAGGGAGGGTAAAACTGTTTTTTTTTGTAAAATATTAATGGTTAGTAAGAAATAAAAACTTTTTCCAAATTTGATCAAAATATGTTCATAAACAAGCAAACTACAACAGTTTACTTATTCTCCATAAGAATAACATGGGAATTTTAAATTTACAATTTTTTGGAATTTTCTCCGTAACCATTAGGCGCATAATAACGCTTCAATATACTAAATTATTTGTTTTTTTAAGCTCTACAAAGTGGTTTGGAAAGAAATTGCTAAATTTTATGTTTTTTGGGTCAAAATGGGAAAAACCTATTTTTACCCCATAAAACCCCCCGTAAACCCCCGTTCCCATGGTCCGATCATAATGGATCGCGAACTCGTTTGAATAAACGTAGGTTTACACGTTTGTACCAAATTTCATCAAAATCGGATCATTTTTGCTCGAGTTATCGTGCTAACGGACACATATATATATATATATATATATATATAAACATATAAATATATAAATATATATATATATATATGAATTCAAACGGATGGTGTTTTTGGCCTCTAGGGACCTCAAAACGAAAAAAAAATCGGTCCAGCGTCCAGGTCTTACCATGAGTACTACGGTAATAGCTTATTCCCTATATGGGAAATTCGCTAAAAGATACCATACCTTCAACAATGGAGCGGATGTCAAGGTTTCCCGCCCTACCATCACAGGGTGTGCGACTAGACCATTATCATCACGACACGGACACACCTTCGTGATGAAGTTAACATGCAAACGTCGCATTTCACAGTGGATACAGCGTGGAGTTATTTTACAAAACAAAGAGTTTTCATTTATTTAGCTTCACGTGCAGCCTAAATAAGTATTTTCATATGAAGAAACAGCTGGTCTTAGTCAGTAATAAAGTAATGCCATCATATACAGTATAAAACATATTCCCTTGTGTTGGTTAGTCTATGGTAATACCTTTATAGTCAATGGTAATACAAAAGCATATCCATAATATATCCATCCACTCAGTATTTTGTCCCCAAATGAATTGGTAAAAGCGATGATAAATTACAATAATAAATGACACTTAAAATCATCTGATCTTATCCTATCTAATCATTCGACATCCCAACTTTGTACGTTTCAAATGGTTTAGTTGAATTCATTTTAGGATAAATCTAGAAAACCGTAGAACAGCCACGTACTGTACCAGAATACGAGTGCTCCTGAACCTGTATGTTAACAAACTGAGTGTTCCCAATAATTCTTTGGATTTCCAAGACTTGAACTACAGAATAAATACTTATTCCCTAGTCTCTGCTTGAACTTATTCATATTACAGTAGTTTGAAACATCTTTATTTCAACATATAGGATTATGTTTAAGGCTACAGTATCTAGTATAAACTACCACTCAAAACAGCAGCAACCACTCTAGCAGAATAAAGCAGAAATATTAAAAAACTAAACGATTTAACATTTTTACCACTAAATGCCGTTCATCGCACTTCACGCCTGATATAGAAATATAGCATTGTCTACAGTTTTATAGTAGTTTCATTAATGAGAAGTAATATTCGTATGAATATTGGATATTGCTAAGTTAAGGCCCAAAGCCTATAAATTGGTAAGAGCACTTTAGTCATTCGCCTATTGGGTCTGTGTGATTGGAATCGTCTTGTATAAAAACATTAAAGGCAAATAAGTGTAAATATATGTTTCAAGTGTGATTAGAAGTATTTTTATTTACTCTCCGTAAAATTAATTACACGTATTATGTTGATTAAGCAGTTATTTAGCATATTATAAATCTAACAAAAAACCACTAAGTGGTAACACTTTCCCCGCCAAGTCAGCAATCCAAAAAAGTTAATAAATCATTACTTTTTCCGCCAAGAAAAACAATGTAATGTATGTAAGTTTGGCAACTTGGCGGCAGACTTTTGCTTGGTTTTTTTCATTTAAGTTACGTTCGTGGATAATTTCACAAATCAACTTCTCTAATTAATTAGTCCAACTAAGTATAATTTATGAAATGTGGCACAAATAAGGTCAAATTTTGTAAAATAAGCTCTCACCTAGCAATGTACCAATGGGAGGGATACTTGCTCAATGAAACTAGTTTTATGGTATTTTTTAAAGGGATCGAGCAAAAGTCTGCCGCCAAGTTGCCAAACTTGCATACATTACATTGTTTTTCTTGGCGGAAAAAGTAATGATTTATTAACTTTTTTTGATTGCTGACTTGGCGGGGAAAGTGTTACCACTTAGTGGTTTTTTGTTAGATTTTATTTATTTTTGTAGAAAATTAACAGTTAAAATAAAAATCCTCT